CAGGATTACGATTTCAGTGCAATATGATGCAGGATGACCTTATCACGAAAACCCATCATTATAAACCATTATAAACACAGAATCAACAAAAACATCTGCGACACGCACATGGTTACATTTATCAAATAAATCTGATCGAGGGTGGGGAGATCTGAAATATCTGAAAGGCAAGCCAATTTTATGACAGAGTCATGAAATTCTGCTACAGCAACATGCACAGAATGACCTCCGTATAAAAAAAGTATCACCACGGTCCACCACTACGTACTCACATGTTTCACCGCACAAAGAACATGCATTTTGCCATTTTCTGCAAGAAAAGGCTTGCACATCAATGCGTATAATACGGTATTGATCCCTTGATATGATGTGAAGGCCATCATTTAGTTTAAATTTACATATTGAGATAGGGCATTCCATTGATTGGTGACAGAAAAAACAAAAGAAATTATAGCAATAAAAACTGCTTTATGGCAGTTTTCTAAAAAAAGTTATTGTGTTCTAGTTCATGGACCCCGTCTAAAAAGTAAGAAATTAACGAAATGTGATAGCCGAAAATTAAAATTTCACACAAAACCTCACAATAATCACACACAGAATGAAAAGCTACATGTAGAAGACCTTTTCCCCTCGTGATCCTCTTTCCTATGCATGCATGACATGCATGTTGCCAATTGTTGGTGCAGTACAAGTTTAGGGTTGAAAGCAGCATTTCAAGTGCTGTGATTATTGTGAGGTTTTGTGTGAAATTTTAATTTTCGGCTATCACATTTCGTTAATTTCTTACTTTTTAGACGTGGTCCATGGACTAGAACACAATAACTTTTTTTAGAAAACTGCCATAAAGCAGTTTTTATTGCTATAATGAACGTATGCAGTCTCCGCTTCAAGGTCCATGCTCTAACCGCACTGATCCCCAAGTACGACATCCTGTGTATAGCCGAAACATGGCTAAACAGCGCGATCTCTGACGGAGAAGTACAAATCCCAGGTTATTACCTTACCAGATGTGACCGCGAAAACAGGACTGGAGGCGGTGTATCTACTACAAATCATCACTTCCCATCACGCCACAGCCAAATCTCCGCCTAGACGGCGTGGAAGCCGTCTGGATACTGCTGCGATCGAAGTCCCAGAAGCCCCTGTTCGGATGTGTATATCGTCCCCCGCAGGAGCCTGTCGCGTACTGGACTCTCCTGGACTCTGCCTTCCATAGAGCGTCTCTGGTGACATCATCAATGACCGTTGTAGGAGACTTCAATGTGGACATGTTCCGAGGCCAGAGAATGGCGCAACGACATCACCTTGAAGATGTCGCATCTGCTTACAGCCTCACAAACCACGTGCTGTCCCCGACAAGGATTACACCTCTCTGTCCCCAAGGTAGCACCATAGATTTAGTCCTTTCTACAGAGAACTCAGTGTCAACGTGCACGGTTGTTCCGTCCACCATAAGTGACCACTTTACCGTCCGGGTTGTTCCGTCCACCATAAGTGACCACTTTACCGTCCGTGCTACTATGACCTTTGCTGTACAGACGAAGAAGTGCGTGCGTGCTCCACCAACACGTAAGCAGCACAAAATCGACATTCCGCTATTTCGCGAGGACCTTAAATATTGCTTTGCGCAAGACTTCCCCTCTGATGCCGATGTCGACACTTACTGGGAGCTCTGGCACGATCGGTTTATGACTGTGTTGGACACACATGCCCCGCTTGTGCAAGGGGCAATGAAATCTGCAGAACCTGTGCCTTGGTCAAACCGCGACATTTATCAGTTGGACAAGAAAAAGAAAAGGTATCATCGCCTTTGGCTGACCGACAAAGGAAATGTTCAACTCCACCAGCAGTACCGGAAGGTTCGAACTCAGGCAACGAACATGTATCGCTGTTGTTGGAATGAGTACTTCGCACGTCAATGCCAAGAACATTCCAGAACCCCCCGCCAGATTTGGAAAGTCATCAATACCGTCACCGGACGCGGGAAGCAGAAAACCGAACCAACCTGCAACATCGAAGAGGTAGCCAACGTGTTTCATGACATTGTGACGGATCCAAAGCGCCCATCATGCCTAGCCTCTCCCGTCGGCCCACTTCCATCGGATAGCCTGCACACGTTCCAGCCAGCCTCTTGTTCCGTAATCTACCGTCTACTAAGTCAAGTCAACCCTGCGAAAGCAACGGGCAGCGACGGTGTCCCAGGATTCCTCCTGAAGTCCTGTGCTGAGGTCCTCACACCATCTGTCACCACACTCTTCAACCTGTCACTGAAATCTGGTGCAGTGCCTGCCGGTTTCAAGTTGGCGGCTGTAAGCCCGCTGTTTAAGTCTGGAGATCCGTCTTAGCCGACAAACTATAGGCCAGTGTCGCTACTTTCGATTTTGTCAAAGTTGCTGGAAAAGCTGGTCCAGCGGCAGCTTGTACGGCACCTCGACCACACCGACGCTATCCCGGAAACTCATTTGCATTTCGCCTGCAGCACTCGACGGGTGATGCACTAGCCTTACTGGTTGATCAGCTGCAAATGGCTCGCGACAAGAAGGACTCCGCTGGAGTGTGCTTCCTTGACATGTCGAAGACCTTCGACAAAGTGCGGCATGCAATTATGATCCAGGACTGCTTTGAAATTGGAGTTGGCGGTACCAGTCCGTGCGCCAGATTCAAAAAAGTCGTCTAAAAGTTGACTTTTCATTTTCCGCACTGGGCAGTTTGCGGGTACTTTTTGAGTCGCATTCTCAATGGTGGACAATTTTGGAAAATGGTTTTGTGTCTATGGCTCGTTTGTTTTGGCATTTCGCTACCTGTGTGGTGAGCCTAGAAATTGCGCTTAGCCGTGGCAACGCAATGGTGTATTCCGTTTTTCAGCCAGATGACTTGTTTCGCTGTGGTCCGGCATCTTCCTAGATTCTCAGCCGTCGTCGAATTTGAGTATTTTCGAAACATTTTTTAGGGTGCAGGCGTGGGGCAAGGCTTTCACTCCCAGCCAATGGCACCATTTGGCATAACTCAGCCCTATGAACACGTCACCAGGCCCTCGTTAGTGTCCAGCCCATATTTCCAAAAAATGGACTGGACTTGAAACTTGAGTGCACAGACAGTACTATGCATTATGCACGTAATGACCATATGCAATAACTTTCGCAAGCTACACGACAAGGACACGCTGCAGAATAACATAATGATATTCACACCATATGCCATTGTGGTGCACCGTGATACCAATGACAGTATATTTATCGGTGATCAATTGCCTACTGGGTCGCTCCGTTGCCGAGAACGTCAACTTTGCGGACTGTGGAATGACCCGCGACACCGCCAACCACCCCTGACACAAAGCCAAATGCTGAAAGAGCTGACTGATACGGTACCTAGCAAGTTAAGTGGATGATGCTTATCTTCAACAAAACCAGGACATAAAGCAGTGCTACGATAAACTACCTCCAGTCACCGGAAACAAATACAGTGCATTACGCATATTATGGATAGAGATTGCACTAGTACATGTATAATTGTATACCAATCTTAGAGTAAGAAAACAAGTTATCGGGTCTATACCATCAGAGTTGGCAGCTATATGTATTGGATTCTCCTGGTGTGCAGAATGATGCTGGCGGCGCGGTTCATATCCACTGTTGGCTTGCTGTCGGCAGTACTTTCACTATCTCACGTCTAAGGCATTTCATAGTCTGCATGACTTGGATCACAACGCCATAGTTATCCACACGAGAATGGTAATAAATCCAGATCACTAAGGCCTTCTTCATTGCAGTTGGCGCAATACGTTCACGGGATTGCGTCTCCGACCTCCAAATTGTAATTATAGCTGGCTAGTCTGTTGTTTATTGGCAGACAAGAATTGCGATGCTTCTTCAAAAGAGGCAGTTTAGCGATGTCTGTCCATGACATATTCCGCATTGCTGTGTGTGGAAGGAAAGGTGCAACAACATTAGATTGCTGCTGGCCATAGACATCAAACTGCAACATCTGGGCTTCAGCTGTCACAGGTCCATTGACAGAGAGACTGCCGCATATTGCACATACTGCAAACTATTGACTTCATGCCATCGCCTCATGGATCAGAAGTCACCACACTGAAAGAAGAACAGCAGAGGAAAACAGAACTGATGCAGTTAATTGGCAGCAACAAATTTACTCCTTCATTTCATTCGACGAATTTGAGTCGTGCAATACAAGAAAAAAGTCAGAGAGCAGGATCTAGGAGAGGGCATGCACCAGTGCTGTTGTGCCTGTAATAATTAGATGCTCAGAATTTCACCACAATAATGCACATAATACTGACATATTTACACTATGCAACCTAGTAGTCAACAAATTCAGAAAAAAATCTAGTACTCCAGCTGGTGAAATATCCCACCTCTATCCCCTATGCTCAAATTTCCCTGTAAAATTGATAAAGGATAGGTAGATGCTCACTCGGAGTGGTGTTTGAAAAGTAACACAACAGGTCATGACGATTTAGAGCATGCTCAATTGTCTCTTCTCATAAAATCACAATATTGCCTGTGCGTGGTTTATTTCGGGTGCAATTGTGGGGCACATAGGTATCACTCTAATTTCTCGTGCATTCGAAAGATAAAGCTTTGGTCTATCACCCCACAAAGCGGCTTTAGTGTCCGCGATGGGTAAATGCCTTACCTGGTGTGAAATTGGTGACCATATTCCTCGTTTCAGCAATTACAAAAGTGAGACATTCGTCCTTGGTGGCTGCTCACGAACTGCAAGCTCCAAAATGATTTTCCAGGGTACGGCGATAGGTGTCTACATCACACCGAGCCATCTCTCCAGTGTAGGAAAGGTCTCCTGACGAGACTAGAAGGGCTCTAAGCTGCAAATTTCATTGAAGTATTCACCATTCGGAGATAGGCGAAATCAACAGAAAACAAGCCCGCAGGTGCGGCGCCTTGGAGGCTACGATTCCCGCGAGAAAATGAAAATCGGTCTCTCAAGGGCCTTGGCGCACGGACTGGTACGGTGATGAAATGGCTCGTTAGCTACCTTACAAATCGGACACAACAAGTCCGTATGGGTAGCGAACTGAGCAACATCACAGTATGCACAAGTGGAGTACCCCAGGGATCTGTATTGGGGCCCATACACCCGAGCGGTAGCTGCAGTAGCTCACCCGACCCCTAGCAAACAATTTGCTGACGATATTGCTTTCGGTGGTTTTTATCAGGGAGTCGTAAAATTGGTATTTTACGACTCCCTGGTTTTTATTATTTCAGTTCGTTGCCTCAACTGTACAAAGTACAAATATCAAGAGGGACGAACGAAAAGAAAAAATAAAACAGAGCAGAGAGGAAGATGCAACTGAAAGGAAAGAGAAACGGAGAGAAACGGAGAAGGAATGTGGACTGGGCGGATTCATGAACCATTACTAGAGAGAAACAGAGAAGGAATGTGGACTGGGTGGATTCATGAACCAGTCCATTTCAAAACTATAGACGTGTAGGCTTTTTGAAATATTTCAAAAATGGCTGGACCTTTTTGGGAATAGTTTTCGGAATATTGCTCAGGTCCGCTCCACAATTACTCTACACGTGAACATTCACCCCCAGGCCCCAGCCTCTCACTATCCTCTGTGCATATAGAGCTCCAACAGTACCTGTGGCATTTTGGCAAAGCCTATCTAGCCTAACTGATGACAAACTAGATTGTACACCGGCCTCCTCCGCGTGCATAATTCTAGGCGATTTCAATGTCAATGTCCAAGACCCTAGTCACGCACACTACCCTCACCTACGAACATTCTGCTCTGATTTTGATCTCCGAAACGTTGTTACGTCACCAACTAAATTCCCCAATGCAACAACCATAGACCTAGCACTGATCTCAAGCTCCTCCTCCACCACGTCCACTGCAAGACCAGGCAGTGATGAACTGATTTACAAAGACTGCAATGTTATTCCATGTGCTATTTCCGATCACCAACTTGTTCGTGTGACCTACACTATCCATGCTACCACCAGCACACTCAAGACAAACAGACAGGTACAAGTACGAAAGCCACCGCTGCGCACGTTGAAGATCAAGCGATTCCAAGAGACAGCTGCTAAGCATATGTCTACTCTCCACCAGCAGATCACACGCAGTTCATCACAGATGTCTCTAGATAGTTATACTGAACACTGGCAGGATGCAGTCAGTGATGCCTTGAATGAGTACTGCCCACTAAAGACCGTTAACGCCAAGAAGAGCTATACTCCATCGCCTTGGATAGACGATGAGCTCCGGCAGACTTTATTCAAGCGTAAACGAGCACACTGTGCAATGATAAAACGTCCTGATCGCCCAGACCTGCTGCAACAATTCCGAACTCTACGAAGACAATGTAAACTTTTAACTAGGAAGAAACGGTCTACATACTTCCAGCAACAACTAATCAATCATCGAAACCACCCAAGAGAGCAATGGAGTGTCATGAACAATCTACTGGGTAGAATTAAAATCAACCGGGAACCTGCTGCCGAAGTAGCCGACATCACAAAGACATTTACAGCCGTTGTCAACGATACATCACTTTCTGGCAGTACACTACGCACTCCCAATGGCCCTTTATCGGAATACTCACTGACACAGTTCACACCAGTCACTGTTCCACAAGTCCAACTCCATATCCAGAGAATGAACAGTCGTAAAGCCACAGGACATGATAACATCCCCGCCCAGGCTTACAAGCTCATCAATGATGAGATCGCCCCATCTTTGGCCAAACTATTTACCATGTCTCTTACATCTGGCGATTTTCCATCGACTTACAAACTAGCAAATGTGCGGCCTATCTACAAGCGTGGAGATAAGTCAGTCCCATCTAACTATAGACCAATATCAATCCTGTCCCACATGTCTAAGCTACTGGAACATATTGTGCACGACCAACTAATGTACTATATCTATAATGCACCACCACCACTGGTACCCCTACCTGCTGAGCAATTTGCCTACCGCAGAGGCCACTCCTGCGAGGACTTGCTCACTCCCGTGATCAACGACTGGATGCTCTCCTTGGACAAAGGTGATTAACACTGATTATGTCGTAGCTGCCTTTCTAGACATGTCCAAGGCATTCGACACAGTTAGTCATGCAGTTCTACTGAGTGAACTTCTGGAGATCGGTGTCGGTGGTACTGCCTTGCAGTGGTTCTGTAGCTACCTTACCCACAGGAAGCAACGTGTAGTCACCAAGACACAACACGGGCTAGAATATAGCAGCAACAGGGGGGTTCCGCAAGGCTCCATCTTGGGACCCTCTCTCTTCAATCTGTCAGTCAGAAAGCTCCCCTCTGTACCCCAGCACTGCAAGGCTCGACAGTACGCGGACGATGTCTCCCTTTACAAAGCTGGCAAGAACGTTGAACAGTTGTGCAAGGAGCTGACGGAAGACATTGTCAAAGTGAAAGAGTTCTTGGCGGCCAGAGGCTTACTGCTGAATCCTTCCAAGACGCAGTTTGTCGTGTTCAGGTCAAAGTGCAAGCCCCTTGACCCCAGCGTCGCTCTACAGCTGGGTGAGGTCACAATCAACCCTAGTGCACACATTCGATACCTTGGCGTTGTACTCGACGAACATCTCTCCTTCGGAGAGAACGTTAGCCAACTAGAGCGGAAAGTTGGAAGTAAGTTACCCATGTTCAGAAAGGTCCGAGATCACATGACGGTAACTGCGAAGCGTGCATTTTACATTTGTTCCATTCAGACAGTACTCGAGTATGGGAGTAACTCATTTGATCATTGCTTGTCAGTAACTCTTCATGACCGTCTAGTCCGTCTTAGTAATAGAGCTCTACGCATTGTGTTCAGTATACCTCGCTTTTCTGACGTATCCCTTGTTAATGCACGCCATCACATTCTCCCTTTGTCTGTGCGCTATCAGTTCAAACTCTATATCTTAGTGTTTCGTGTCCTGAATCAGTTAACTACTACTCTCCTTACTGATTGCTTTTGCCTTCGTTCTACTTCTACTCGTACCAATTCCTGCACTCGCTCTCAGGTATCTTCGTCTGTCACTCTACCAAAAGCTAAAACTCGTTTCGGTCTCTTTTCAGTTTCTTTCATCGGTTCCGACCGTTGGAATGCACTCCCCACTGCAGTCCGCTTATGCTCTTCACTGGACCTATTCCGTAATTCAGTACTTTCATTTCTAGGGTACCCTGTAAGAAGGCCTTAGGCCTGTGGGGATTGCCCTATCAAATATTTGATAATAATAATAATAATTTGAAAGTAGGACGGAGGCAGAAAATATTACAAAAAATGTAATTTCTAGGCATGCATCTACTCAAGAGTCACCACCAGCCAATTAGGACATGTGTCAAAGTATTGAACGTTTACGTTCCCTTCCTGTCAAAATACTACAGGGAATGATGGAAATAAGCTAAAAGACTACAACTATAAGGAAAAGCAATTCAGAAATATATCACTCCAATTATGTGTAGAAGTGACACGAAAAAATGGATGTGAAGAATCAAGAAAACAGCATGCAAATCCAATAAGTGACAAAAACGTAGTGACAAGAAAAAGAGAGAAATATCAAGAGATCTATTTCGCACCTTCACGACGAACAGTGCGACAATATAATGTACAAACAGAATGATGGAGTCGCCATGGGATCGCCTTTGGGACCAGTCTTGGCGAACATATTTGTTGGCTTCTGCGAGTCGTCTATTGACCCTTCACTTTGGCCATCAATGTAGGAAACCTGTGATAAAAAAATTAAATTAAAAACTCTCAACTCCTTACATCCAGCATTAAAATTCACATCAGATGGTGAAAACAATGGTACCCTTTCTTTCCTGGATGTTAGTATTTCTTGTAACATGGATACGCACAACATGGACACGACCATTTATAGAAAGCCCACTTTCACAGGCTTGTATATCCCATGGTCAAGTTTTACTCCAAATAAGTCCAAAACACACCTCGTCAAGGCCCCTGTCTACCGTGCACATAGGATATGTTCCCCTCATCTGCTGGACGAGGAACTAGAACGACTCCTAACCATAATGACAAAGAATGGCTATCCAAAGACACTTTTAATGAAACTCATCAACCAGAAACCGACCTTGGAAAAGACGATTACTTTTGGACCAGAGAGATGCCCTGTGGTACTACGTTTGCCATGGGTTGGTGCCGGTTCTTCGCGCGTCGAGAAGGAGGTGCGGAATATTGTTTGTTCCTCTTATCCGTGTGTCAAATTGTATGTCATCTTTGGGACGACCCGTGCGTTCAGCGTGAAGAAGGACGTTCTACCTACCCTAAGCAAAATTAATTTAATCTATTTCTTTCAGTGCCGAAATTGTGAAAATCGGTACGTAGGTAGAACCTTTCAGCACCTGGGCGCACGGATTCGTCAACATGTACCGTTGAATCTTGTCCCTGTAGCTGCACGTGGTTCTCGACCTCGGCGTGGTCGTCCATCGAAGTGTCCAGTGCAGTATGTGTCTGAGGTGGACTTGTCCAAGTCCGCTGTGGATACGCTTGCCGACGCCTCCTCCTTTTCGTCGCGCGGAGGGCTGGAGCCAACCCAAACAACAGTCAACAAGAAGAAGAGACCTATGCGGAAACCACCGAAACTGACATCTGGACAATCGAGCCCCGGACGAGTCACCAGAAGTCAATTGAGGAGACGAATTGATGACGAATCAAAAGAACCAATACTGGAAGTGACCACAACGGTTAATGTGAAGAAACGAGGTAGACCACGGAAGCAGGACAGACTGGACGTGGAGCAGCACACTGATCTCGACCGAGGCAATCGGAATTGCAGGGACGCAGGGCGTAATGGGAGAGATTCGCAAGCGGCAATATCGGAGGTGACAACGGCCAAGTCGTCGGGTCAGAGAAACGGTACCTCGGCAATCAAGTATCACCTGTCGGGCAGTGCTAGTTGTCGTGAGTGGTATTCCGATGATGTATTCTCTGTTTTGTCGCGTGGTAGGTCTTTGTTACATCTTGCCGTGTTGGACGCTTTGTACATACGTAAGTTAGACCCTGAGCTTTGTGTTCAGAAGGAGAATATGTTGTCTTTGCAGTTGTTTGGCACTGTTCGTCGTGAAGGTGCGAAATAGATCTCTTGATATTTCTCTCTTTTTCTTGTCACTACGTTTTTGTCACTTATTGGATTTGCATGCTGTTTTCTTGATTCTTCACATCTATTTTTTCGTGTCACTTCTACACATAATTGGAGTGATATATTTCTGAATTTCTTTTCCTTATAGTTGTAGTCTTTTAGCTTATTTCCATCATTCCCTGTAGTATTTTGACAAGAAGGGAACGAAAACGTTCAATACTTTGACACATGTCCTAATTGGCTGGTGGTGACTCTTGCGTAGATGCATGCGTAGATAATACATTTTTTTAAAAATAATAATAATAATAATAAATATACAAATAATCTACGTGGAGATAAAAGTTTAATAATAGCAATGAAAAGTATGAATGCCGCAGACATCACCACGCAACATGACAATTTGTTCAAGGTTTGGTTTTGTGTGTTTCCAAAATCGATTTTCACGTTGCGATCATCAGTGGAAATACGCAACTAAAGAGATCAAGGGAAAAACAAAGGTTAAAAATCCAAAGAAGTGTGACACATGACGGGTAACTTGTGGTAAGTATTACAAAAAGTGAGAACTAAAATAAAGAGTAAGTGTGACAAACGGGCATGAACAGTGCAGAAACAACTCATGAACACGGGGTGCAAACTCACGAAAATAACCTAAGTGCTAAAACATGTTCTTTTTGCTTACACAAATCGGGCTTATGCGTACGAATACAAACAGCTTCAAGGACCTTCAACTGCTGGACATAACTTCTCTGTACTGTTCTCTGTACTGTGTCGTGCCCGTTATGTCCAGCAGTTGAAGGTCCTTGAAGCTGTTTGTATTCGTACGCATAAGCCCGATTTGTGTAAGCAAAAAGAACATGTTTTAGCACTTAGGTTATTTTCGTGAGTTTGCACCCCGTGTTCATGAGTTGTTTCTGCACTGTTCATGCCCGTTTGTCACACTTACTCTTTATTTTAGTTCTCACTTTTTGTAATACTTACCACAAGTTACCCGTCATGTGTCACACTTCTTTGGATTTTTAACCTTTGTTTTTCCCTTGATCTCTTTAGTTGCGTATTTCCACTGATGATCGCAACGTGAAAATCGATTTTGGAAACACACAAAACCAAACCTTGAACAAATTGTCATGTTGCGTGGTGATGTCTGCGGCATTCATACTTTTCATTGCTATTAATAATAAATATAGTTTCTAAACGATTCGATAACAGACGCCCAATTTGGAAAATTTTATGCACAAAGTGATCACAGATTTTATGTGGTATAGATGCTGGCACAACGGTTTTTGCCTCGGTACGCGTCTATAGTTTTGAAATGGTTGTAGAGCAGAGCAATGCATGAACAGAAGGCGGTGCAGGGAATAGTTGGCAGGGAGTAGTTGCAGGGAGTAGTTGTACTACTCCCTGCTCCGGTGCATAGTACTTTTCTCCCGGGGGCAAAGCGCGGGGGGGGGGGGGGGAATAGTACAATTGTGGCAAGTGAAATCCGACTCTTGCCATAGGGGACAGCGCCACAAATGGACAATAAAAACTGCTTTATGGCAGTTTTCTAAAAAAAGTTATTGTGTTCTAGTCCATGGACCCCGTCTAAAAAGTAAGAAATTAACGAAATGTGATAGCTGAAAATTAAAATTTCACACAAAACCTCACAATAATCACAACACTTGAACAACACATGCTGCTTTCAACACTAGACTTGTACTGCACCAACAATTGGCAACATGCATGTCATGCATGCAAAGGAAAGAGGATCACGAGGGGAAAAGGTCTTCTACATGTAGCTTTTCATTCTGTGTGTGATTATTGTGAGGTTTTGTGTGAAATTTTAATTTTCAGCTATCACATTTCGTTAATTTCTTACTTTTTAGACGGGGTCCATGGACTAGAACACAATAACTTTTTTTTAGAAAACTGCCATAAAGCAGTTTTTATTGCTATAATTTCTTTTGTTTTTTCTGTCACCAAT